AAAGTGTATCTTGGTTCTTTGTGTCTTCTCTTTTATTTGCGCTGGAGCTCTACATACATAGCTAATCTGTAATCTGCCATTTGTGATCAATTAATTCTCTGGACAAGAGAGAATTTAAGAGGATTTTTGGAAGTAAAATTTTTATTAAATGTTTCCCCTTACTTCCAGGCTTAAAGACCTAATATTCTGTCTTGATCTCACTTACACCTATGACCCATTGAAAGCCAGTCTCCTGGCAAATGTGATATTAATTACTATTAAGTATCTAAAGGAAGCATTTTGATGACTGCAGTTGAAATTATTGGAGATAAATTAGTAAATAACTCCTTTCCATTCTGATCTTGGAGATGTTTTTTGGCTTGGAAGGTGTATTGGGTTTGCGTGGCAAGATTTTGGTAGCAGGGGGGCTACAGGGGTGGCTTCTGTGAGAAGCTGCTAGAAGCTTCCCCTACGTCTGATAGAGCCAATGCCAGCCGGCTCCAAGACGGACCCACCACTGGCAAAGGCTGAGCCCATCAGTGATGGTGGTAGCGCTTTTGTGATAACAGATTTAAGAAGGGAAAAAAACCTGCGTAACAGAAACTGCAGCTGGAGAGAGGAGTGAGAACATGTGAGAGAAACAACCATGCAGACCCCCAGGTCAGTGAAGAAGGAGGGGGAGGAGGTGCTCCAGGTGCTGGGGCAGAGATTCCCCTGCAGCCCGTGGGGAAGACCATGGTGAGGCAGGCTGTCCCCCTGCAGCCCAGGGAGGTCCACAGTGGAGCAGATCTCCACCTGCAGCCCAGGGAGGACCCCACGCTGGAGCAGAAGGAGGCTGTGACCCCGTGGGAAGCCTGTGCTGGAGCAGGCTCCTGGCAGGATGGACCTGTGGCCCTGTGGAGAGAGAAGCCCATGGTAGAGCAGGTTTTCTGGCAGGCCTTGTGACCCTGCAGGGGACCCATGCTGGAGCAGTGTGCTCCTGAAGGACTGCACCCTGTGGAAGGGACCCATGTTGGAGCAGTTTGTGAAGAACTGCAGCCTGTGGGAAGGACTCATGTTGGAGAAGTTCATGGAGAACTGTCTCCTGTGGGAGGGACCCCACACTGGAGCAGGGAACAGTGTAGAGGAGTCATCCTCCTGAGGAGGAAGGAGCAGCAGAGACAACACGTGATGAACTGACCGTGACCCCCCTTTCCCGTCCCCCTGTGTTGCTTGGGGGGGGAGAAGGTGGAGAAAATTGGGAGTAAAGTTAAGTCTGGGAAAGAGGGAGGGGTGGGGGAAGATGTTTTAAGATTTATTTTTATTTCTTATTGCCCTGCTCTGATTGGATTAGTAATAAATTAAACTAGTTTCCCCCAGTTGAGTCTGTATTGCCTGTGATGATAATTGGGGAGTGATCTCTCCCTGTCCTTATCTCAACCCGTGAACCTTTTGTTTTATTTTCTCTCCCCTGTCTCCAGCTTAGGGGGGGGAGTGATAGATGTGACTTTGATGGGCACCTGGTGTCCAGCCAGGGTCAATCCAGCACAGAAGGAAATATAGCATCTATGATACTTTTAATTCAACTAAAATTTGCAGAAAGCTGCATATGTAAGTTAGGAAAAGAAAAGGTACAGGAAGAAATCGGACCTGTCAAGGAGTATGATTAAATTCTGACTTGAAATAATGTGATTCACTGTATGGGAAATCTTAGTATGAAAGCTCTAAGACTCAGATCAGTAGTATATAAAAAGAATGAATCTTGGACAGATGGTAATCTGGCTTTGACCTTAAAATTACATACAGCTACAGAACCAAGGTTATTGATGCCCATCCTAATCAGACATTTCAAATAACAGAATCTGAAAACTTAAATATTTCCTTCAGACTGAGGTGACTGATTTCTTCCTTCCCCCCCCCCCAATTCCTAGTATTTAGGTACTTAAAGCTGTGGTTAAGATGTTCCACTTGACTGCCTTTCTGCTGGAAGTCATGATTCAGGGTGAATGGGCAATGGCTAGACTGTTAGATTTTTTTTTTCTTTTTTTTTACCTCCCTACCCTAGCAGAGCGGGGGTAATTTTGCTAAAATAGTGTGTTGTGAGAGTTAACTAAATGGGACTAGGAAGTCTCCAAAACAGTTATATGGTTCACGTTTTACTTCTAGAGTATGAGTTCATCACAAAGAACTAAATGGCAAAGTTGGTCAATTTTTCTTCTGTAAAGTGTAAAGTTCTCTAGAGAGTTTTAATCTGTTCAAAGGCAGGACTCGGAAGCTGTTGATGCCCCAGGTACTATTCTCTTTCAAAATATATCACCATTCTTCTGAGAGGGGGGCAGTTTACATCACTTTGTTCAGTAAATAATGTTATATCCTAGGATTTGACAGTTGTAGACTCAGATCTCTTTTCTGAGAATCAAATCTTCCACAAAATAGCTATAGCAAATGGACTTAGTGGTGAGCTAATGAAATGCTGAGTCCCAGGCGCGACTGAATTTTATGAGTAAGCTCTTTTCTTGTTCTTAGCAAAATCCAACAGCAATCCTTCAACTGTGCAGAAATAAAAAAAGGTCTCCTAGTTTTTACGCTTATTGATTCTACCCCGTATTTCAATTAAGAGAGATCAAGACTCAGAGTACTTTTGTGCTTGTAGATTTGACTTATCTCCACGAGACAACTATATTATAACTGAAAACACTAGCTGCATGTAAATAAAAGGCGGGGCATCCCTGTTAGTAGAAGCCTGGTAATTCTGGGTTGAATTAGTTTGTTTATTCTCCATTTAAGTTTAGACAGATTGTCACTGCCATCTGGTTCCCAGAGAACAGCTAGAACAAGCACAGTGAAGTCTGTGCTTAGATTTAATATATCAGAATTTCATGTCTTGCTAGATCTGTTATCACATAATTTCAGAAGATGGGGAACTTCAGTCACACCAAATTTGTCAGACAACAAAACCAAAAGCTAGTGATATAAAACCTCAGCCAGACAAAAGAGCAAGGTATGGTTCCAATCTGAAAATAGCCACCTCTTGATACTTTGCTGCTTAAAACGGTAGTGAAGATTCAGAAGAGCAACCTGGGAATACCCGTGTTTTCTGCTGGCTGGGAGAGTCTATGGTTCTCTGATCATTCAGCATGATTCAGGCTGAGTTCTATTTACTTTAAAAGGGATCTTCTTTCTTAGGCATTGTGTCCTGCTGGAACTTTAGTCCAGAGGACACAACCTCAAGTCTCATGGGTGAGAAGAGAGAGATGTGGTACCTTGTTAACTCTGTGTTTCTTTGAGGTATGGAGGGATGCATCTATATGTTTCTATAGGATGGTCTTCCAGATAGAAATACTACCTCAATTTTGAGAGTTATCCCTTGATATCACTTATTTTTGTAGTGACACAGGACAAGGGAATCTTGCACAATAAAAGAGATAACTGCATGGCCTCTAGGATTTGATCTTTCAGCTTCAAATTACAGATTTACATGTGTTTCTGAATGCTCCTTGGTAGGCATGCACCTAATCCTATGATTTCCCAGTAGAGCTAGTATTCTATTTAAGTTCTCCTTGAAGATGTATTGCTAATATTCTTCTTTAGCTTATAATGGATCTCTGGGCTCTGGAGAGTAACTTTTTAATCTGCTGACTTTAGAAGTTGGAATACATCATCTCATTTTTGAGTTTTCAACCAGGAGGCCATACACCTGATTAAACTGGTTTATAATATATGCTGCAAAACACAAGTGCAACTTTAATACTGTTGCATATATATGCTTATCATGCATATACTGTAGTTAAATTTGCCTTGGAAATGGCTCACCTGACATGAATCACTGTGTAGCTAGTTATGATTTTTCCCTACTGACAGGTCTAGTTTCTGGCTGTGTAGCTCCATGCACACCAAGGATTTGCTGCTCTTTAGACCTCATCCTCGAAGGTTTAATACACTGGAGCAATTTTCTTTTATGTGAAGCTTGTCCTCTTCCTCAAAGAAGTTTTATTTCTTATATTGCTGGCCCAGTTCCCTCTGACTAAAAATACTGAAAAAGTATGTATCAAAATTAGAGTCCCAAATCACAGCTACATCTCAGGTCTGTAATATTGTTGAGTATCTGCAGCTTTCTAATTACAGACTCTGAACCTAGTAAATAGGGAGTTTAAAAAACAAACAAACAAACAAAATGTTGAACCTGATGTATGATTTTGCATATTAAATATATGGGGTTTAATCACTGGATGATGAAAGATTAGGTTGTCCAGAAGTGATATGGGGATAAACACGGGTTACACAACTGAGAGCGCATTTTAGATTGCTTTTCATTTCCTTTTGATTCTTCTGACACTTTAGTGCCAGATCTTCAGTTGTTTATATTGAGGTTCCTCAGTTTTGTTAGCACTTACTTTGTCTGAGCTATATTTGAATTCTGTGTTCAGTGTCAGAACCACAATTACTCTGTAGCTTAATGGCTTAAAATATGTTTTATGATCACAGTATCAGCATGTGGAGTCAGTGTTCCTAGAAGATGCTCTCCTAGGATCTAGTTGATAATTTTTTGAATTATTGAGACCAATTTTGTATGTTTGCCTGTTATAAAAGGATAGACTTAGAGTACGAGAATCAGGTGATTGAGAATATGCTATTTTTAATCCAAAATTGGATTGTACTCAATATTGAGAAAGCTGCTACTAGGAAAGTAGAAGATAACTTGTCTCTGTGTGATGGAATGCCTCTTCTGGCAGGATAAGCCTTCGGGGAATAGGTTGATATTGAGGACTCACTGGAGCCTTTGTGTTACTGAATGGTTTTCACTGGTTTGTCATGTGATATAGTTGCAAAGGCTAGGTAGGTATAGTGTTTAGCAAAATTGAAAACCACAAGTATTGCATTATATGAAAAGATAAACCTTTTGATGACATCTTGGATGTCTTGATAAATACAAAGCTGCTTTCTAAAGTAGGGTTTTGTGACTGCATAAATTGTTGCAAATGGAACTGGTTATATACACACATTGTGATAAACTGTCTTAATTCTGTTTACTCTCTTTGCAGGCTGCGGACTTGAGTAAACCAATAGACAAAAGGATATACAAAGGAACACAACCTACATGCCATGACTTCAATCACTTAACGGCCACAGCAGAAAGTGTGTCTCTTCTAGTGGGCTTCTCTGCAGGCCAGGTCCAACTTATAGACCCTATTAAAAAAGAAACAAGCAAATTATTTAATGAGGAAGTAAGTAGAAATATTAACATTGTTGCATGCAATGTATTTGTGATATTAAAGATCCTAGATTTTCAGAGTTCTGTAGATGGCTCCGTTTGCCTATACAGCTTATCATTCAGTCACTGCCTTTGTTTTTCAGCTGTTTCATTGGCTTGGAATACGTACACAAAAATGTTATTAATGAAGGAATATTTTGCACTTTAAGATTAAAAGTTAGGACTTTCTAGTTTGGGTAATACTGTAACTAGAGTTAATGACAGTTAACTGTTGGAAAAAAGGTCTACAGATCTAAATGTTGCTGCATGTGCTCTGCAGTCCGTTGTTTCTGAGGCTTCTGGTTCCGAATGAAGAAGAAAACATTTAAGCCTCTAACTAATATATTATGGTCTAAAAATTAAATAAGGTAAAAATACCAATTCTTATGGTCAGGATGTTACAGCAGAAACTGTATCAAGGATTCTTAAAGGCTTGCTTGGGGAAGACAAGGATATCAAGCTGAATGCTGCATAGAAAAAGCTGAAGGCTTATGAGGTCTTGGCCATGTGATGTTCCTGAAACTCTCCATCTGCTTTTTCTGCTGCTGTGCAATAAGAAAAGATAGAAGCGAGTACTGAGGGGGATGATTAATGCCAAGTTACAGGACCACTGGCTTTGATTATCTGGTAGTATTGGCATTCTTAGAAGAGTAAGTGTGTAGATGCTAACAAGGAAAGAAATTTTTGACAGCATTTTCTGCAGAGGGTAAGCTACAGGAATTTGGGTGGCTTAGGGGGTGTTGGTTGTTTTTTTGGGGGGTGTTTTTTTGCTCCTGTTTGTGTTTTTAATCCAGCTGCAGGTGACTTGGGGGGGAATAGCAAGGAGCTTTGCAGTTATTTTTGGTTTTTCTTTTTTTTATAATAAATTTCAAATATGGTTAAGAGCTTTGCAGATGAAGTTAAGCCTTGTGCAGCTTTTAAACTGAGCAAGCATATCCTTCCCACCTCAGAGAGATGTGTTGCCTTGCTCTGTCTTTGTGCAAAGAAGATTGAAGTATTGTTCTCAATGGGGATGTTTTATAATTAGAACCGTCTAATTCCTCCTCAGCTTTCTAAAATTAGCTACATCTAGATCAGAAGAGGGGTGTTTTTCTTCTTACTTAGCCTTTTCCCACCTGCTCTGTCTCTCTGCTTGTGCTGAGTGGGAAACGGTGCTGGAGAATCTTAATGTTGCATGGAGTACTCTGGTAGAAACCTCTGTATAAATAGTTGAAATGTTCATTTTAGCATTGTCCTAACACCTCTCCCTGCAAAAAAACACAACTCCAAACCAAAAAAACCCAAACTTTGTCATTGGTGCAAATTCATCACTGGGAGTGCTGGTCTGGTTGTGAACAACTTGCTTGTGTAAGTACAGCTCTGATTTAATCTTGTATGATAATAGTGTAAGTATTACAAATGGCAGTAGAAATACTATAAACAACTAGAGTTTCATATCACAGAGCAGTTCCTACTCTTGTAGCTGAACTATAGTTGCTTTGAGGAAAACTCCTGCTGAAATACTTACATAAAGGTCCAATGCATGCTTACATGCCTTGATGTTGTTTAACTGTCTAGAGTCTGCAGTGTAAAGCTGTGTTGCAGGCTGAATAGTTCTTGTGGTAGTCTACAAATGATGGAAGCACTGAAGCCACTTTCTGTTAGACTGTGTTGTCTTTTCTCTGTGCTATAACCAGTATTACTTCACTTTGGTGGGAATACATCCTTTGATGGTTTGGTGGAAATTAAATGAGGTGATCTATTTTCTACAAAGCTAACCTAAGGATTTGCTCAGTGTTACCAAAACTACATGCACAGTACGCTAGAGTTAAATGACAAATTCTTGTTTCCTACAGTGATCTTATCTGCATTTACAACCAATTCTAAAACTTTTATATATTTTTAATCTGTCAGTTACAGTATTGAAGTTTGCCCTGGATGTGTTTGCAAGTTCTGGCTTGTTTTGAGAAGCCATTTCAGAGAAACATTAGTGAGCATTGATGTTTGAGCCAGTTTGTTTGCTTCAAGATGAAGGTGCCTGTTGGGTTTTGAATCTATTTAGAGTTTAGATAGTGAGAATAAACCTGTCTTCATAGGCAGAAGGTCGTCTAAATGAGTGTTTACACCTTTGAACGGATTTAGCACTAGGGCTAGAGGTAATAGAATTCACCACCTGTCCTGTTAGTAATTTGGTGATTCAGGTAGCCCAAAGCTCTGTTTTGACTATCACCTGTGATAAAGCAATCAGGATAGCACTTAATCATATGTGATATGTGAAATAACTTAACCTGTTATGACACAGAAGTTTATGTTGAACTTAGACTGCAGTAAGGCTATTGCATTTTAACTTGTTAGTGTCCCCCCCCCCTTTTTTTTTTAAATTCTATTCATGTAGAAGACAATAGGGACTTGAAAAGCTGAGGTGGGTGATACTATGCAGCTTGTGGCTGTCTACCTAAATCAATCTGTATCAACAGTGGTATTCCTTCTAGCTGTGTCAATTAAATTAGTGATATTTTCTTATTCCCAAAAACAACCAAGTATACCTCACAGATTCATTTGTTTCCATGTGGTAGTTGGTTATTCTCAAGCTAGCCAACACCTAGCCAGTTCAATTATGTTTCTTTCATCATTTTTTATTCTTTTTTTATTTAAACTAAAGCCTTAAGCTGCATTTTTTTTCCTAATAAACTTTTCATATACCTGTGTTGCCAAAGCTCTTTGTCAGACCTTAATGCATATTCCTTGGTTGCCTCAGTTTTTTCACTCCTTTGTGGCTTATGCCTGTAATTTTGTCCCTTCAAGCTTGTTCCAAACATGGCTACTAAGGTAATCTTGGCTTGCCTTCCTGACTGGTGACTGAAGTTCCTTCACTTACTATTCTTTCACCAAACTGGTCATAAATTCCTTATCCCAGCTACTCCACTGATTTACTTGATACTGCATTCAGTCCATTCTTGTAATGAATCTGCCAGTCATACTGACTTCAAGTCTTGTTTTGTTCTGCTGCAGAAGTGTGTGAGCCCAGTTGAAAGTCTTCAGAAAGTCATAACTTCAGAGTTTTTATGTTCCTGCTGAATTTAAAGCTCTGCTGGTTGAGAAGGGGATGAGTTGTAGTCACTTGCTACGTATCAGTTTAAAGTCTCTCTGCATCTTGTCTCTTTGAGCTAATCTGTTCTCACTGCAGATTGCAATCTTCTGTTTTGTTCCTAGCCTCCTTGGAGTAAAGATTAGGTTTGCAGGATTTCTGTACAATATTTAAGATCATGTAACCCAACAAGATTATGGACTTAAAATGCCATTTCTAGCATAAAATTTGAGCAACTGCTCTTATGAGTAGAGGTTGTATGTCATGTTAAGCTACTCTACTAGAGGAGAGCAAGAAATTTCGCTTTGTTGCTGTATTAGCAGTAGTTTTGTAATGAGAAGAATATCGCCTATAGCAAATGGGCTGGGCTGATGTTCCCTGTCCATGTTCTCTTGGTATGTACCAGGTAACTTTCTGTCTAATGTTTCTGATCTCATCATTACTGAGACATGAGTGATAGGTATCACTGAACACATGATAAACTATTTAAAATATCACTACAGAAGCTAAGAATATGTTAGTTTAAAGCTACCACATTTGAGAAGAAGTTCCCAGCTTAAGTGACATCTCAGCTCTCCAGTGCAAAATGGCTAATTTAACCAATGAGAAATTACAGAAGAGAGGCTTCCTGGTCTTACACTGAGGTTGACAGCAGCAAAAGTATATGTGTAAATATAATCTAAAATGACCAGATGCTGCTTTCCAGTGATAGTTACAGGCCCAGAATTGATAACAGTCAATGAATTATCCATTAGTTTGGTTTTTTTTGTTTGTGATGAACAGCATAGCAAGGTTTGAGGGGGATTTTTTTTTTTGTTCTTTGTTTTTTAACACTTTTGTAACTTGTTCTGGTACCATTAGGCTCTTTATATTTGCATTCTTGCATTTTGTGTAGCCAAGCTCTTCTTTCAGCCTATAATCAATCTATGCCAAATACAAATCTTGAATGTGCATGTAAAGAATTACTTGTCTCCAAGTTGCAGTTGAGTGATGCCATGACTGAGTTGGTAAGTTTTAGAAGTCTACCAGAACTACACTAGCAAACTCAAGGAGTCAAACTTTTATCTCTCAGTTCTTACAGCATTGAAGACATTATGATCAGCAGTGTTTGTTTAATGTGTGTGTTCATTCTTTTGCAATGATGGATTCTATTAAAATGTTTTTCTTTAAAGGAAGCTTCTTAATCAGGTGGTAACTGAGAGTATTGACAGGTCCTTGGCTAATGAATGATAAGTAATTGGAGGGTGGGTGGGGATTCTAAGGTGAAGAGTATTTGGTGCCTTCTGAATTCACTGAAGCACATGCATTTAACTACTAACTTTCCAGCCACATGGTAACAGGATCACTGTGTACGTAGCTTTTGTTCCCTGAATCAGTAAAAAAATCTCGTAAATGCTCCTAAAGCGCCCCCCCCCCCCATGAATTTTATTTGTGGTTTCAGATAAAACCAGAGTCTAAATGTACTGTTGTTGATTTATAAGCTGTTTGTTATGTAGTACAGGTACAGATGAGTAACTGCCTTTTTTCCCTTTAGCTCATTCTGTGTTTTATTGATTGTTTTCTTTTCATATTCTTCAACCTACACAGCAAAAAATAAACCTAAGAACAGTACCTTTAGATTCATAACAACAGATTGGCTTGATTGAAGTATGTTCTTTGTGGAATGTGACTGGACCACAATAATAACCTTTGGTAGCACTTTGTCTAAAAATAATTTCCTCTTTACTGCCTGATAAGATTATAAGTTTTTGAAGATACAATAACATAGCTCCTTTATAGAACACTGAGTTCACTTTGCTTAAGTATTGTTCCCCATTCCCCAGAAAGCTCAGATTTACAGTTAATTATTAAAACGTCAATCTTCAGACTTTCTGATGTGTATCTTCTTTGTTTTTCACAGAGACTAATAGACAAATCCAGAGTAACCTGTGTAAAATGGGTACCAGGTTCGGAAAGCCTTTTCCTAGTAGCTCATTCCAGTGGCAATATGTACTTGTATAACGTGGAGCACACTTGTGGTACCACAGCCCCGCACTACCAGCTACTTAAACAAGGAGAAAGTTTTGCAGTTCACACTTGCAAGAGTAAATCCACAAGAAACCCTCTGCTTAAATGGACAGTAGGTGAGGGTGCCCTGAATGAATTTGCCTTTTCCCCAGATGGGAAGTTCTTGGCATGTGTGAGCCAGGATGGTTTTCTTCGTGTGTTTAACTTTGATTCAGTGGAATTGCATGGTACAATGAAAAGCTACTTTGGAGGACTGCTGTGTGTGTGTTGGAGTCCCGATGGGAAATACATAGTGACAGGTGGAGAGGATGACTTGGTAACAGTTTGGTCTTTCGTGGACTGTCGAGTAATAGCGAGAGGCCATGGACATAAATCATGGGTCAGTGTTGTTGCGTTTGATCCATATACCACTAGTGTAGAAGAGAGTGACCCGATGGAATTTAGCGGAAGTGATGAGGATTTCCAAGACCTTCATTTTGGCAGAGATCGAGCAAATAGTACGCAATCTAGGCTATCCAAAAGGAACTCTACAGACAGTCGTCCAGTAAGTGTTACGTATAGATTTGGTTCCGTAGGCCAGGACACGCAGCTCTGTTTGTGGGATCTTACAGAAGATATCCTCTTCCCTCACCAACCTCTCTCAAGAGCAAGGACACATACAAATGTCATGAACGCCACAAGTCCACCTGCTGGAAGTGGTGGAACTAACCCAGGAAGTAATGGAAACAGTATCACAACACCTGGAAACTCTGTACCCCCTCCTCTTCCACGGTCAAACAGCCTTCCACACTCTGCAGTCTCAAATGCTGGCAGTAAAAGCAGTGTCATGGATGGTGCCATTGCTTCTGGTGTTAGTAAATTTGCAACCTTATCGCTACACGATCGGAAGGAAAGACACCATGAAAAAGATCACAAGAGAAATCATAGCATGGGACATATATCTAGCAAGAGCAGTGACAAACTGAACCTAGTTACTAAAACCAAAACGGACCCAGCTAAAACTTTGGGAACACCTCTCTGTCCCCGAATGGAAGATGTTCCCTTGTTAGAGCCTCTTATCTGTAAAAAGATAGCACATGAAAGACTGACTGTGTTAATTTTTCTTGAAGACTGTATAGTCACTGCTTGTCAGGAGGGATTTATTTGCACATGGGCAAGGCCTGGTAAAGTGGTAAGTTTTAATCCTTAATGCTGCATCAAAGAACTAGAACTCTGAATAGGTAGTTTTCTTGAAATATAAATGAATGTTGAATATAAAATTTCTTTATGCTTAATGTAAAAAAAAAAAAAAATCCTCAGAGCCATACTTTTGGATACTGCATGCCATATTTCTGAATGATTTGAAGTGTCTTGGATACAATTATTAAGTATAGTTGCCTTCCAGCAGAAGAAATAAATACTGTGCATCTAAACTACTGATCAGTGTTCTTATACTTAAGCATAACCACAATATGGTAAAAGCTATTTATGTAAAAATTGAAGTAAAACCTGTCAATCACTAAAATAACTATAATCCTTCTAATGTTTTCTAAAAAATACAGCACTCCCAATGAGAGTAGCTTATGAAAAGCTGCTGCTTATAAGTCTAGTGAGAAATGTGAGCCTCTGAAAAAATTAAAACCAAAGTGTTTTATTCCTCTATACTTTTCTGTGGTGGCCTGCCATTAATGTAAAGCCAGTTCTTATTAAAATGTCAGCCATTTTATGCACAGATTTGTGAGCCCTTTACTGACTGTAGTTTATGCTCTTGAAATTGTGAATCAGTACTATCAAGGAACTCTAATTTTAGCCAGGTCTTGATTTATGTATTTGTTAAGTTAGGGAAAATCATGCAAGCTTTCTCTAAGTAGTTTCAGTGTTATGTTACTGTCAGTTTTGTTAGGCAATTTGATCATTGACAAGCTTGTGCTTTTTGATGGCACCTGTTCTATCATTTGAACCTTCATTAAAATATATTACTAGTTTTAACTCTTGTTGTTAATGCACTTGAACACAGATAAAACTTTATTTTTCTTCTGTCCAATGTATAGCAAGCTAAATTTTGAATGAAGCTAAATGTGGTGATTATTTTATTAAAAAGTACTTTGTGCTACAATAGCTTTGTTTGCCAGCAACATTTTAAAGTAATACAGCTATGAAAACATTACCAGAGTTGATCTAGCAAAAAGGACCATTAGTTTTGTGAAAATTTCTGAAAGGGCATGTAGGTTTTCTGAAGAAAAAGAAATAATCTGGTAATACCTGAATATTGCCATGTTGGGCAACCTAAATGAAAATCTGATGTTCATTAGGTTTTAACTATTTGGTTCATAAATCTGACTTTTGAAGTGGAGGTACTGTATATATTTATATACCACATCTTCATTGCTATAAACTTTTAGGTAAAACTCAGTAATTTTTCTTAAAACTGTTTGTATAATGTAAGTTTCTTTTGAGATGTTATCAAATTTGTCACAACATAGGTATGCGTAGAGAGCTATGTCTGCTCTGCATCTTAATGCATATTTAAAGGTTGAATCTAAAACTAAAAACTGTAAACCCTTTTCTGGGCAGAAGGGAGGAGGGTGTTCCCTAAAAGTATTTTTTGCCTAACAACTACAGATCCAGCATTAATTTAAAAAAAAAAAAAAAAAAAAAAAGAGGCACCCCCCCCCCCCAAACACTAAACTATTTAAAATGTTTGTCCTAAATGAAAATACTAAAGCAGTTATCACTTCTGTGACTCAGTGCAATTCACATCTCATGAATTAACTTTATATGCATACAGCAGTGCCTCAGATTTCTGTTGTAACCTATATTTTCTTTTTGTTCTAAAACTCCTTTGTGTACTACTAAACACTACACTGTTAAATTTATTTTCAGTGGCTGAGGTGGGTTTTGTTAGACTGGGTATAACTTAAATATTTTTGTGTATTGACTGTGATTTGGAATATGACATTTCAAATATTTCAGAGATAAAGTATGCAGTACCAAAAATCAGGATTTATGTATTGGCCAATATGGAAAACTTTAATTACAGGTAAGTAATTTTCATGCTGAAGTTATCACTTTCAAAATTAATATATTGCACAGTGATGTAAATGCCATATTGTTTAGGAAGTATTTACTTAAAATTTTTCAAATTAATTTGTTTTTCTGATTTTACTTGCATTTCTAGTGAGCTCACTCTGCTGGTAAAAACTAAATTTTGGTGGCATGTTTACAGGGCTTTGATAGGAAAATATTTGTGCCAGAAGGACATTATGACCATCCTTTTTGTTTATAGGAAAGCACTTAATAATTTTATTTAATGAAAATTGTCAAAGTATAAAACACTCATGGTAATGTCTTTCTTACTGGGTTATATACCATTCATTTCTATTTCGCCAGCTGTTTTATCCTAGGCTATCCCATTACTTTGCGATTTAAAGCTGCTATTTCTAGTCTTCCTTTTGAAATATGGGTCCCCAAGTGATCTTAAAACTCCGCCACTTTTTTGTCTGCCAACTCTAGAGTGAGAGCCTCTGAATCTTGCTGCTTCTTCCATCATTGCCTCAAAAGGCCTTCATTAAATTCATGCCACTGCCAGCCTAAAGAAAGAATTGGATGGAAAACTGAAGCAGGCTTGCAGTGTCTAATGTAACTTCTGTTGCGCCAGTGCTACCTTTCCCTCTCATTTTTAATAGCCATTGAAAGAACGTGCTGGATAATTGGACAGTGTATGACAAGTTCTCTTCATTTTTCTGGTTGGGCTGGTGCTGCCCTTAGTGGAAAAAAAATTCAGAAATGTCTCTTCAGCCATGATCCTTATGATAGTTGATAGGCTGCATAGTACTTACAGAGTATCCTGACTGTTTATAAACTTTCCAAATTACTACTTCAGTGTATACATTATCATACCTTGAGCTTCCTCACTGGATATACCATTCTTGCATTGCACTTCCAGAACTATTGTACTAACTCTCAGTCAGAGTGAGGTGAAGTAAATGGCAAAATTCAATTAGAAACAAATTGAATGAGGCTCAGGGTTCATTAATTTCAATTTTTTTACTGTCATTTTTTGTTAGCCTGTTTTTGCGGAAGAAGGTTCAGGGTGGTGAGCAAAATAGGTTGCCTTAACAAGAGTATGAACTTTCTTCTCAACATGGTGACAGTTAGCTGTCGCTTCTCCCCCCTGTCTTTCCCAGGCCCTGATGGGAAACCTAAATGGGATTATAGAGCTGTTGTATTAATCTGAAAACATAGAAAAATAATTTTAAAGGAGCCAAGGTAAACTTCGTGTGCTATCTTTATAGCTACTTCAAACTGAATTTCAGGACCTGCGGAAGCAATTAAAAATAAAAACAAAACCAACCCACAAAACCCCCGAAAAACCAAAGTGGTATCTGGATATGCAAAACAAGCTTTCCCTGAACTTTGTGGTCAGAGGAACTATCTATGTGATTTCTGTGTTTGACTTCAGAAGTTAATTCTGAATTCACCATCTTGTACAGTGACTCCATTTTATCTAAGTGAAAGTTGCTGATTAGTTGTTTCCTTTGTAAGAAAGCTCAAGGTAAGATTTGCCAGGAGTATGAACAGGTGAAATGGCAGTGTATAACCTAGCAAGATAAACATGCTACCATTTTGTAAAACAAGTGCACATGGAATTTATTTATTTGACTTATTGTACAGGAAAACTTAGACTTAAATTATAACATCCTTGAATTTTCTAGTTAACTACAATTGTAGTACAGTATCATGTTTTAGTATGACTTCTGTTTTAGTGAAAGTACTTAAACATTCATGTACTATATTTGAGTGAGATGAGCAGCTATACATACTAATTCTTCCTCAATGGAAAGGAGCATTTCATCATTACAATTGAAGTTCAATTGCTGGTATTTAAGTACTATCAAATAGATTTCTTTCAACGTGATACGGTATCTGTATAAACTTCAGGGATGATTATAGTAAAACTGAAACACAGCTATATGACTTCAGGTTACCATGCTAAAATTTGAAGCTTTCTGTAATGTGCATAATAGCAAAGTTGCACATAGCATACCCGCATTATCAGGGTGAATTTAAACCTAGTACACTGGTGTGATATTTATAGCAAGGTATGTGTGTTTGCGCGTGTGCGTGTGTGAGGAGGTGTGACTAGTGGCTCCAGTAAAGCCAGGAGAGATCATAACCCTGTAAAGGCTTTATGATGAGGATGTCTGGATTAGGAAATAACATGACTTTTACTAAACACTTTTTAGAAAACCCATGTTCTGAATTATCACCTCTTAAAATTTGATTATGTACTTGGAATGACTGTATATGTCTGCCCCTTTAACAACATAAAGCTACTAAATTAATATTTAAAATGCTGGCCTGCTTATGTTACAATAATAAAATTTGTGTCAGTTAATTTACTGTCAATTTATGTGTAAAGATTAAACAATATTTTTTCTGCATTTTATGAGTTCTGTATACTGGAGTTTGTTAAAGATTGACATGTTAGGTGATACTGTACAAAATTGTATTGACTTTAGTGAAAATCAAAAGTAAAATTCATATGTATTTCCTTTTTACACTTCCATCTAATTTCTTGACAACTTGAATAAATTTCATAGAGCCTTTCTAACATGAACTATTGTTAATTTAACTGTTGCAATAATTAAGCTTTAAGAAGTATTGTTGGTATATTTATAATTTTAAGAAGATCATGTTTGTTTCATACTGCTTATTTTTAGCTGTCCTGTTGTCACTGTTACAGCTGAAGAACTTTACTAAATACTTGACATTACAAAATAACTTGCTGGGGTTGTCCTCTGTATACTGATGTTAAATAAAAATGTGTGATTGAACTGTAAATGTAGATAACTTTCAATAGTCCTTTCCACATTTGAGTTTTAATTTATCTTGCAGTCCTTAGGTGGTCTTATGCTATCATACCGTGCTGAACAAATGGCCACAATGAAAGCTGTTAACTTGCCATATTTTAAAGTAAGAAGTTGATCGCATCCTGTAACCTGCTCTGAGTAAATGTTTCACTTCATCTCAAGACAATGCATACATTTTGATGTTTAAATCTTGCTGATAAGGTCATGTCTCATGATATTTATTTTTTTTAGGACTAGAGTAATATGAAATAGAATACTTACCAAACTTGTTTAAACTCAGATTCAGTAAAACATGGACATGGATGTATCCAGATTCTCTCTGCCTACCTGTCAAATAGGAGCTGGGGCAGAGCATTGTCCTTCCTTCTAGGACTCTACAGGAGCTCTTTCCTCTATGGATTCTGGTGCAGGGTATGTTCTTTATTCCAGCTTTAGATCTTGACATTTACCTAATGAATACTGAATTTACAGCCCTGAGGATATGGCTCACTCTGATTCAAGCATCTTGTGTCTAGAAAAACTGTGGCTAGTCTAGAACTGAATTCATCTGAACTAAACCTAAACTACTCTAAAACTTTGGCTGCAATATTTCTTGGAACCAATTTAGGTGAAGACTTAAGACGTTGCCCTTCTGTCTGAGCGGACTAGGAATTGTGCCACCCTTGCAGCAGCGGTTCGGTGTTAACCGATGAAGGAGCCAAACAAATGATATTTACCAAAGTCTTTCAAAGGGAAATTTCAGTGACAAAGATAGTTACTTTGGGCCCTGTCTGAGGTAGGACTCTGTCTCTTAGGCAAAAATACTCTGTAGACTAAAGCTGAGGAAATCATCTTTCTTATGTGAACTTGAGAACTTTCTGGTACTTTAGAAGGTATTGTTTGACCCCTATGATGGTCTATATACATACATATATTTAAGAACGGTGTCAGTGGAGCAACAAAATTAAATCGGTCCTGAAAGCTTCTAGGAACATCCAGTTACATCAAATGATGCAAGAACTGGTTGGCCAAACCAGATTCTCAACAGTCAGTGTGAGCATGAAACAAAACTAACTTCCACAAGTTCTGTGGTCATAGAAGATACTTTGGCAAAAGATGTCTCACAACATGAAAGTGTCGTCTTGTTTGTCTTTATTAAATAATGTTGCACAAACTTCTTAAGGAAATAACTTGTATGATCACATTATTTTCTGTTTTTGAAGTTGGATTTTGGGTAGGTGCTGATCAACCTCATCAAATTCACTTGGCTCATTTCTTCTCCTGCTAAGACCACACTTATTTTACAGCTAACACAAATGGGGTTGCCTTAAGTCATATGCTTTTCCCTGAGGTTTTCCCTGGTTTATCTCAAATTCATTATTTTCTAATCTGAAAATTTTAAACCTTACTGACTTTTGTAGTTTGAGGAAGGTAGAGAAACCAGAAACCATTCCTAAGCATGTGAGCCCTTACTACCTAAATGAAACCTAAGGTCCTATTGCTCAAGCCAGATCAGGTTTTTGCTGGCAAAAGCCTTTTCTGCTTTTCCCAGCACACAAGTAGTTGCATCTTAAACTATTTTTTTTTGTCTTGAACATGCGTATCTTCCATTTGCCAACCATATACTAGTCTTGAAGTAATCTTGCCTAATACCACTAGACAGATTTTTAGTTAGTCTGCTGGTTTTCTAGCAGCAGTTTTTCTTGACTTTTTGTTGACAATGAGTAAAATGGTGATACACCTCTAGTAGGAGAAAAACTCCTTTATGTACACAGAAGAGAAGTTGCAAGTGAAACCTCCTTGATGTTACTACATGCTTTTACAAGTTCTGGTGTCAGATGGTTTAAGCATTTATACTTTTCTGTAACACTACTAGAACAAAGGAAAAAAAAAAAAGCAGCAAACGAAAGACAAATAATACATTTAAAACTCCATTTAGTGAACACATAGACTGTAAAAATAGGTGTTAGCTTTGCTGTATCCCTTTAAATCCCATACAAAATACTTTTCTGTAGTATGTTATGTGAATGTTCAGCATGTTCTTCCTTGAACATTCTCAGTTAATTAATTTTATGACTCCATTAGGATTAATATCTGATTCAGTGAGTATATGCAGTTCAGAGACTTATGCTAATAAATGCTGATTCATTTCGATAAGAAACTGTTGGAGATTTTGTTCATGCAAATCTTAAAACCAATTCAGCTGATTTAACTACAGAATTTTAAACAAATGTGAAAAATCTCATTCTGTTTTGGCATATTCTTGCTCAAATACTGGATTGGACCGTGGGCTCTTTTGTCAAGCAAAGGTCTCATCTAGATTACTTTTTCAAATTACTCCAGGAATATCACTGTTCTGGACAAGAATAAACTACCCATGGAATATTCTTCACATAATAAATTCCTGTTATTTCATATACTGGCAATAGCAGAAGCGGTTTAACTAAATTAGTGCCATTTTTGTATGGGCATTAGTTAATTCAACCTTTTTTTAAATTGGTTTAATCGCATTAGTGAAGTGTACTGAGACTTTTTTTTATGTTCATTGTTACATTGGACCCTTTGCTTTGTTTTTTCTACCTTTCAATTTCAAAACAGAAAGTAGGAAAGACGTGCGGAGTTCAGACATCCAGCCAGTTACTGAGAGTCAGCTGAGCTGTTTTACAGAAGGAGCGCGCTCTTCTCGGGGTGAAGGCTGAGCGTGTGCCAGGAGCATTGTGAAGTAGCACATAGACATGAACTGCCCATATCCTGGTCATGTGTCCAAACTTGCAGTTTATTATCTAGATTAGTGAAACTACATTTGATTGCATCTTTGGCTCCAACTAATCCTGTTCTAATTTACATGAAGAAAATATTAACTCAGTAGTTACCGATGGCTTTTTTCCTACTTAGTAGTACCTTCCTGATTTTTTTTTTTTTAAATACAGCAATTACATGCTGATCTTTCATAGAATTAGTTTCTGTTGTGAAGCCTTGTGTTTCATATCTTTGGAAGAAAAATACCCCCCCTGCAGCCTCATGAATTATGAAGAGGGTTAGTCTTAACACTGCTGCAGGTCTTTCTGAACAGACCACAGCTGTGAGTGCCATGAACCTTGGGTGGAAATGAACCTTACTGATCGTATTTGTTACGGCTTTTCATTCCTAACATGCAAGCCTATTTTTACCGAATACGCAAAGCCCTGTGTGTTTTGGGAAGTCAGAGAATACATAGATAAACGTAGAACAGCCCTAGCAACTACTGCTGAAATAGGCTGTGTTCGGTACTCTCACACTGCTAATTGATGTAAGAAAAACGACACTGTGCTCTGTGAAAGAAGGACATTTCAGCCGTAGAGTATTCCATTATGATGGCAGATGGTGCAGCACCTACTTGGAGGACCCTCCCTGAAGTTGTGATGAAGATTGTTGTATCAAATTCCTGACTTAGGTCTCATAACTGTTCAATTTCCCACCCCCTGCTAGACCCGCATGCTGACAGTGCTACTAACAAAAGGCTACATATATTTTTTCAAAACTTTCTTTGAACAGTCTCTTAATTTGTTTCTGCTGCTTGCTCAGTATGATCTGTTTGTTCTTAAACTTTAAGCTGATGCCCTGTACTGCACGGCAGTTGTTGCATCTCAATTCTTTTGTTTTCCGTCACGGCTATTAAACTGTGCGGCCGTGCTGTTGCGCTAATAAGTTGCTGCAGCTTTTGTTCCATCTTTTTCCGTCTCGTTGAGTAGACTGGGTGGTTTCATCACAGAAGGCTCTGGAGTCTAATTTGTTATTCTTTCTTTACAGCAAGAGCTTTCTATATTTTTTCCATAACCTTATCCATCGTATTATTCCCAGAGAATGCAATTACAAATATTCTAGTCCCGCACCCTTTGTATTACAGATTAGACTCTTACAGGGTAACTTTTGTATCAAAACTGTAACTTTTTTTTGAGCCCTCACTTGTTTTTCTAATGTGGCTTTCTAAAGTTTCCTATGTTACACCTAAGGTAACTTCTTAAATGGCCTTGCTTGAAAGGTTCTGATATAACAGCAAAATTCTACAGAATCTTTTTTGTTACTTGGGACCACGGAGAACGCTTGCCACTTTGGTAAAACTTATATGCCTAAAAAACTCCTACTCTTGCTTTTCTTGTTTGAACATCTAAGGTCTAAGATGTCTTCTGAAATTAAGTACTTGGAAGAACTCAGCATTTCTCATCTCTCCCACAGAAGTGAAGTTCTGGAAGTTTTAAGGCAGTACTTGCAGAGTTTTTGAAATGTCTGTCTGCAGTAGCACAAGGATATTGATCTTGAGATTCTTTCCACTTTGGTGTTCCTCTGGCTTGCCTGCTCAGAGTTGCAAAATTAATTCAGAGTGAGGATTGAAATATAAGGAGTTCCTAGTATTCACTTACTCAGAGCCACCTGCACTGCACTGCTGCTCTTTAAAGCAGGGAGCATTCACAGCCTGGGAGATGAAACCAGGACTGAGTGACTCCTTGTTCCTAGTCTTGGAACTTGAATTCCAGACTGTCTGGTAGTTCACGAGGAACAAGGCACCACAGTGAATTTCAGTATGTACTGCCTGTTTCTAGAGGAGTTGTAGGAAAATGAATGACTCTTCCTTTTGTTTTCCAACAATTGGTTGCATTACAGTGTAAATCTGATATTAGAACAGTGCTTATTTCTCTTCATCTGTATAGCATGGTTACAAGCCTGTTGAAAAAGACTTCACATTATGTCATCCCTAGTACTTCCTGTGTGCTTATAAAGCACATATTTGCATATGAACAGTTTGGACCACCGATTTATTAAAGACTGAAAATAATACCTTTGGACGTCTTTTTCCAGGGTACTTGAAAGTCGCTTAGTGGATGTAATCTTCTGGCAAGAAAGACCTTCCAGTTGATGCTGCACTTAACAGACTTCTAAAGAATGCTTTGGTAATGAACTATGGAGTTCTGATTCATCTTCATCACTTTTGAACAAAACTTTCTTGGTAA